GTATGATGTTTCCGCCCTTCCATCCCCAGCCAAAACACCGGACAATGACGTTTCTTATAACCCGTATCATGTAATTCTAAGCCAGTGTCCTGTTTAATTTGTAGTTCGCGGTGCATTCAATAGGACGAATTTTTCACGACACCAATTTGGGCTTAAAATCAACAGCCTTCCCTTCTCCCCCCCCTCCGCCTTGAGATTTGCAACAATCACCGATCTAGATGGTCAATGTCACGTACCTACGCACAGACCCAGTGATGTGCAGGCACTTTTATTCTTTTTCTAAACCACTTCGGTCGCGTTTCAGACACTAGTGTAACTCACCAACCAATGCCCTTTTCTTTTTCAACATTTAGGTCCTGACTGGTCGGTCCATCTATTCTCACTGTACTTTCTGATACCCTTCGCTGGTGTATCCCTGGCCTTACTGATCTCCAACTGGTGGGTATACCCTCTCGTTTGCTTATTTGGACTCCTCAGTCCGCCGTTATCGAAGTGGACCCCCTAATTAAACACCCTTTCAAGCCAATTGTTCACGTATACTCTCCCCTGCTTGTCATCTAAGTCGAATTGCTGCAAGTGCCATATTACCCTAGCTCCTCCAAAATACAGGCATATAGTTTGGCATCGTTAAAATTTCCACCACTTCCACTCAACATGGAAAGAAACTGAAACTATTCCTTTTTGTAGAGGGGCGCTCACTGATCGTTTTTACGGAACTCACTTGTCCCGTTGTGCCTCAGGGCTCTCTCTCTCTCTCTCGAGCCCAACCAGCAGCCGCACAACGGCGCATAATATAGGCAGAATGTTATTACCGACAAATACAAGGGGGCCGGAATGGCCATTTCTGACTTATTAGCCGTCGTCAGCCAGTCATACCCAACCCGAAGTGTGGAACACCTGGGGCTCGATCCCGCGACCTGTTGGTTAGAAGTCCAACGCCTCTGACCACCGAACCTCAGGTGTTCCACACTTCTGGGTTGGGTATGGCTGGCTGACGACGGTTAATAAGTCTGAAATAGCCATTCCAGCCCACCTTTTCTTTGTCGGTAATGCTATTATACTCTTCTTTTGTCTTTATCTTTTTGTCATTGAAGAACGCTACTATCCAGACTACTTAAAATAGCCTTACCTTTTAACCTGTGGACTGAGGACATTTGAGAATACAGTGCTGTATGGCCACTTTATTAAATCATTCCACCGCTCGCTCTTCACCACCCCACGTGCACACTTCATTACTGAATCCCCCCCCCCCCCCCCCCCCCCCGCGATACCTTCTGCTACTTTGCGGGAATGACCTTTGCGGT